AAACGTTTTAAGCCAGAAGCAGCATAAGGAACATTTTTTCACTACTTTACATATTTTGCCTCTCGTCCCCAGTGCAACAGCGATGACCAAGCATTAATATCCCATCGCACTACTATAGTATCTGTCATCCACGTAGCTATTGGTTAAGGGGACTTACCTACATGTGTGTGTGTTAGACGCGAGAGCAAGAAACAATGCTCAATAACATATGTGTTATGTCTTCCTGGATTTTGTTTAGAATGATTTGGATGTGCCTCACAGACACATTTATCGCTGTATAAACCTGTATTATTAAATACTCAGGTTCCCAAAGGAACACTTTGGAAAGACCTACGGAATACAAGTCACCGCCAGTAGTTTGTTGACCTTTATTGAATTACCAATATTTTCCTGGTACAAAAACAGCCTGGAAAGTGACCCACTCTGGGTATGTAAATAAAAGCTCATTTTGTGTGGTATTCTATTAACTACGTATACTTAGATTAGTTAACATGTGAGAAGGAGATAAAGCCTTAAGTATGTGACCGAATTCTTTAACTAAATTAGCCTATCATGTTAGACAATTGGCCGGCCATTTTTTTATTTGTGTGAAAGTGGCACATGTAAAAAGATATAGTTGAAGTCATAAATGTGTGGTCGAATTGTTAAACTAATACAAGCATGTGAGGCGGCTGGCTTGATTTTTTTTTTATTTCTGTGGAAATGGAAACATGTAGAGTGGAATATATTTACACGAAGAAATACCTAGATGAACAGAAACTTGATGATGACTCGTTTCCATGATAGTAACCACTTTTTGTTTTGTTTTGTAGCTGGGCGTACTGTTTTTGGGAATATGTTTCACCGCCAGCTGTCTACCTTTCTACCTACTTTGGCACCGGTGTTGTTCCACAAGGTCTAACAGCTACTCAATTTGAAATAATACTGTGGCAATGGGTCGGGCCACGAAATGACACAATCTAGCTACGTGTAATGGTACTGGATTAGACGGTGGCCGAGGTTTTACGAATGGATGTCCACCCCTTTCCAACTAAAATATTTACACAAAGACGGTTGATTGAGAAATGTACTAGTACTACCAAGGTACAGCTGTATTTTCACGCTTGATGCTGAAATGAGATTTTAAAGAACAACTCTAGGCATGTAATTGAAGTGGTGTCTTTAAGTTGTCGTTGTAACGGTGTTCGCCGATACTCGGGTAAAGGACATATTTTAAATATCAGTTTTGCCATTTTACCCCAAAACATAATCATTACCGCATCAGTAAACTGACTTTTGTGTAAGTGCAAAAAAAATCAAGTCAAACTGACTGACTTTTATTATCAAATATATCTACCTTAAGTCAGTCGTGTTTATGTTTTTGTCTAACACTTTCTGTATATATACCTTAAAACACTTGAAGTATGTACATGTGTAAACTAGGTCAGTATATCAAGATAACTATTTTCGCTGAGCTGGTGGGCACTGCGTATTGGGAACTTTTTTGTGCCGTACTCGGGTTCATAGGGGCAACTGTGTATATCCTGCTACGTCATGTGGATGACCAGTATTCGTGCACGTATTTATAGAGGAAATGTTTTATTATAGCTTCTAGCCTATGGAAAGGAAATATATGATGTTGCATAATGAATAACTGAACGTCCTTCTGTATTTTGCTGCTCAGCAAGCTGCTCAAGTGTGGCAGATTCATTCACGGTGCTGTAGTTTCAACGATAGAAAATGTCATCGCAAAGGCAGGGTTAAGATGAATCTTTAGTAGATATGTGTCGTTTGCGTGGCATTATAAAGTAATGGATGTGTTGTTCCCGTAGTCATCCTGACTACATGGAAGGGAGATTGTGTTAACAGAAGCCAGAAAAAGTATTATTCCGGTGTGAACGGAATGGTAGTCCTAGTATCCTGGGGACGTAAGTCCTGGGAACGTAAGTCCTAGGTCTAGCGTTGCTAGGAATGGAGGTCCTAGGACATACGTTACTAGGATTTAACGTCCGTAGGACAACAGTTACCAAGGAATGCATGTCCCACCGCCAGGAATCTAAGTCCGGATGGGACCTGTTATCCTGATTTACACTAGGAATATATGTCCGCTACCATTTTTCTCTCGCACTTAAAGTGAGTGATAGATAGATAGATAACTAATATAATATTACCATTACTTTTAAAATATTTCACCTAAACAAATACAATGGAATAAAAAAGGTATATGAAGAATAACACTTGTTACATTTGCATATATTTATTTCAGTTTTTCACATATTTATTTCAGTTCTTTATCTATTCATCTGCAACATAAACTTTCAAATTTGCCCTGTTTACGGCGCCTTTCAGTGTGCATCCGCCTTCAATCTGGAGGATGTAAGATCCAGATTTGGATATCCCCTTCACAACGTAGGGCACCAGCCAGGGGTTTTCTTGTTTGCCCCCCTTTCTGTCACTCCTTCGTAAATTTCTTTTCAACACTTTTGTTCCCACGGTAAGTACCTGTAAAATTAATTTAGATACCATAAGTGTTTTGCATCGTTAATCACAGTTCACCTGCATTCAATTTTAATATAAATGGTAATTGACTACGAAGTATACAAATGTACAAGGCGCACCACCAGTAAATGGTATAATCCAGGCAAACAGTGTATATATTACGGTCACACTATATTAAACAAATGCTTTATAAGTAAAATATGCATCAATTTGATTCATGGGGTAATTCACCAAAAGCTTATACCTCATCAGTTGAATGTCCCCGGACCTAAAATCCTAGAAATGGTAGTCCCCCGGACCTAAAATCCCAGAAATGGTAGTCCCCCGGACCTAAAATCCCAGAAATGGTAGTCCCCCGGACCTAAAATTCCAGAAATGGTAGTCCCCCGGGCATAAATACCCATTAAATAGTAATCCCCTGCAGGACATTTATTCAAGGTACATAGGACCATTGTACACACATCCCTGGAATTATATATCTGCGTATAACGTAGTGTGACCTCTAATAATATCGCATATTAAACATCATGAAAATTGAAAGTTTACTTTATAATTAGACTTGCTTGTTCTCCGAATAACTCTCTCTGTGTTGGTGTTGTCTCGATGGGATACGTGCCCTCCTGAAGATATTGGAAAATAACTTCAACTTCGGGCCTGGTCCGGGTGCTGCTTGTCCCTTCCATATCAAACGTCTTGTGAGGGTGTGGTATTCATATATGAGCGGTATTTATANAAAAAGGTATATGAAGAATAACACTTGTTACATTTGCATATATTTATTTCAGTTTTTCACATATTTATTTCAGTTCTTTATCTATTCATCTGCAACATTAACTTTCAAATTTGCCCTGTTTACGGCGCCTTTCAGTGTGCATCCGCCTTCAATCTGGAGGATGTAAGATCCAGATTTGGATATCCCCTTCACAACGTAGGGCACCAGCCAGGGGTTTTCTTGTTTGCCCCCCTTTCTGTCACTCCTTCGTAAATTTCTTTTCAACACTTTTGTTCCCACGGTAAGTACCTGTAAAATTAATTTAGATACCATAAGTGTTTTGCATCGTTAATCACAGTTCACCTGCATTCAATTTTAATATAAATGGTAATTGACTACGAAGTATACAAATGTACAAGGCGCACCACCAGTAAATGGTATAATCCAGGCAAACAGTGTATATATTACGGTCACACTATATTAAACAAATGCTTTATAAGTAAAATATGCATCAATTTGATTCATGGGGTAATTCACCAAAAGCTTATACCTCATCAGTTGAATGTCCCCGGACCTAAAATCCTAGAAATGGTAGTCCCCCGGACCTAAAATCCCAGAAATGGTAGTCCCCCGGACCTAAAATCCCAGAAATGGTAGTCCCCCGGACCTAAAATTCCAGAAATGGTAGTCCCCCGGGCATAAATACCCATTAAATAGTAATCCCCTGCAGGACATTTATTCAAGGTACATAGGACCATTGTACACACATCCCTGGAATTATATATCTGCGTATAACGTAGTGTGACCTCTAATAATATTGCATATTAAACATCATGAAAATTGAAAGTTTACTTTATAATTAGACTTGCTTGTTCTCCGAATAACTCTCTCTGTGTTGGTGTTGTCTCGATGGGATACGTGCCCTCCTGAAGATATTGGAAAATAACTTCAACTTCGGGCCTGGTCCGGGTGCTGCTTGTCCCTTCCATATCAAACGTCTTGTGAGGGTGTGGTATTCATATATGAGCGGTATTTATAGTAGAACAAGGTAGCGTGTGACATCTGGTTATGTCTGTACCAATCAAAAATTTGCTACGTGGCAAAAATGACGACCAGGATAAAACAAATAAAAAAAAATTCACACGAAAAGTAAACATACTTTTATGTATGTAAACGAAATTCGAACCTCCATCCACTCACACAATTACTCTGTATAACATCTATTACACTGCACAGCCTGACCACTACACCAGGTAGACGAACTGGCAAACCATCGATTTTACGGGGTACTTATATGTGCTCACTAAAGCATACTATTACTGCCAATAGTCATTATCCACTAGTTTAAATGGTCGGACATAGTTATAGGGCGGACCTTCATTCCGTTGACTAATGTAAACGTAATGCAGGTCCGCCAGGAATAAAAGTCCTACCCTTTATTATATTAGGAATGCTGGTCCCATTAGGACTACTATTCCTCAGGAACGGTGGTCCGTAGGACCTCGGTTCCGGGCGGACCTGCATTCCGTTCACACCGGCACTCCAGCCTCCAGCATTCCATCTACAATTCATTAAATTCCTACAGCAATAAAAAAACGTTAAGGATATTTAGTCTCCCTTAAAATTAACCTCAAAATTCCTGAAGTTTCAGAATACCTAAATTATATATCCTCGGTTATCTCACTGCAGTCTGACCTGTGGACATTAAGGTTAATATCGCACCGTCCATGAACACCTTATCAGTTGACACAGGTATGTATTTCAGGTCAGTCCATTTTTCTGATTAGTATTTCCGCTGTAGACGGGCAAAATGGCAGACACCATGTGTTGGAAAGTATTCCGTGTCTTCTTCGGCATCCTCGAAGCTGCTGTCTACTCTGCCACGATAACCGGATGGCCAGCCTTCATGTACATATTCATAGAGGAAGGGTTTTATTATTCCCGCTGTGACTTCGATATTGTAGCCAATGCTAGTTATAACATGACGAGTTCTGGTTGTACTGGCCTTGGCAACTGCACGCAAGACACAACCGGAGAAGACCTTGTCCTTAAGTGCACCGAACAAGAAGAGATGCTGAACTTAGTTTACACTGTCTCTCTAATCGGTTTAGGGGCCCTTTTTATACTTGGTTATGTCTATGATCATTGTGGTTCAGTCTGTTTGAGGATCATATCTATGTAAGTATATTTCCATCACACTGCGTAAGAACAATTTTAAGGTAACTGTAACTGTTGTAAAGACGACAAACATGAATTCATCTTTTTTTGCACATTTAAGTACAAATTAAGATATTAAAAACCATATAAAGATACACGCGATTCGCTCTTACTGACATTACCGCCCGATATCAGCATTATGAGCCTAAATATTACTTACGCTAATCATTAGAGAATTAAGCGTCTCCAGTGGATCAACGTTAAAAGTCTAATTTTGTGTTTTTGACGTGTCCTTTAAGATGCCTGTGTGCTGGTGGATTTTGCCTGATGGCGTTAGCAGAGAGAGGTACGGTGTGTAAATTGTTTAACTGATTGCATTCAGCAATAGTTCCAGAGTTGGATCGATGTACGTAGACCGATAGCTTCAATGGGAATTGGACCTTAGATGTAATATGTCAAGGTTTGACCAAATAGACGGTGTTATTAAAGGGTGATAGATACTTTTAACAGCACAAAATCGGTCTGTGATCAATGATGGAGATTGACATTGGTCCACACGAAATATTTTTAACAATATGTCCAAAAAGTCAAAAGGAAACTATCACAATATTGCAGACACAGTGTGGAATTAATAAATAGTCGCTTTACAGAAACAGAGTGGCTGTTATTCCCCGGGGCCATATTTAACCTGATGGGAGGGTTACAGTTGGCTTTAACTGACGTCCAGGTGGCAGTGCTATTTCCTAAGTTAAAGGCGACACTCATCTGTTTGGTTTCCGGTGCCACAGACGTTAGCGGTTTTGTCCCTATACTCTTAAAGGTAATGAACACGTTACACATGCAAACGAAAACACTTAATAGCTGTGCGCACCGTGCTGAGGATGTCTTTATGTTTGTAATTGTTCATATTACATATTCGAAAACTTGGGGAACATTTAAACAATGGCAATATGTCTTGATGTAGCAAGCTGATCTGAACAATCGTAGATCATTATCATGGGAAAGAGTCTGTCAAAACTGAAGACACGTTTAGAAAATCCATCAAAATATAAACAGTCCATGGTATAATTGATATACCGTTGCTTTTGTGGATAGTTAATCAGTAGTATAGGATGAAACATAATACTTGCTCTTTTGGTTTACTGTATCTCTTAATTCTTTGTATATATACACACGATACTGTATACAATTTAATGTAGTTGTCATTAAATATCGTTAAACATTTCATTTATTTGCAATTGCAGATGGCGTACCAGGCTGGAGTGTCGTACAAGATGTGCATGTTCACCTTTGCCGGTATCATACTTCTAATGTCTTCTGTCAACACAATCACCCTTCCTCCTAGACAGGATGAAGACGGGAACAACATTGACATAGCCTGTTGTTTTAAGATACGCAAACGCAATAGATTTACTAAGGGAGTTTCTAAACATGACAAGGAAGGTTGTTTCACTGTCATTGACAAGGTTAATAAAAATGACGTGGACGAATCTGCTGTTAATGAACAACTCGGTGAGTATCAGTATTGGGAACCATTAGATAACGCAACGTCTTGTAACGGAAACAATCCTTATAATTTGAAATACTTTATTACTATAATTTTCACACCTTAAATTTAGCTTTTTAGGTAAATTATTGAATTGATTGATTAAATTTTATCAACTTTTGCTTTTCGTTTGTCCTTATCACTTAATCTGATATCTATCTCTCTCGATTTAATTGATAATTTTCATTTCAAAACCCCAAGAATTACAGGGTTATTTTTTTTCATAAATTAAAATTAAATTAATGGATTGCTTAGAATAATACAATTTACCACTGTTGCTTATATAATTAAACCAATAAAACTACATCAGCAGTCACCAAAAACGTATTTTGTATTTTGAGTCAATTCGCCATTCCCATTGGTGTCCTGGAAAGAATGATAGCTGAATTATATTTAATTAACTTCATGGACGGTAAATAGCTAAGTAGCTCGATAAAATGTTAGAACGTGTGTAAATTTGTGATTCAGCCCATTGCCAGAAGCAAATACATTAACAAATATATGTTGTAAAGTATAATATTTAGATAATATGCCTGGGGTGAGGCCTACGCCTGTAATACTACGTACATCTTAACAACAATTTGAATTTAGAACGTTTAGACACTGATTTACATTGGAATTGTCTTTCTGGTTTTTTCAGTCAAAGCAAACGAGGAGGCAAGTGTGGAGCCTGATGACATAAATTGCCACAATGCGTTGAATATGAACACTACTTACCAACATTATATTAATGCCAATCGCAAGGAAACGTGTTTTGACGGAAGTGCCCCGATGATCCACGGAGTGGGAAACCCTGACAGCAAAAAAGATGACGAAAGCACTAACATCGGTGTATTACATGGCACACTACTGATTCTGAAAAGTACCACATTTTGGGTGCTGATGCTATGGCTTATATGCCAGGACACCGTCATTATCACATACGACGGTTGTTTTTATGCGATCATCAGTTACTACGGAAACAATGTCAAAAACACAGGTAATATATTTGCATGTATATTAATTATATAAGTTTGCAAAGCATGTTGTAGTAAATACCTTTGTTGTTTTCAATGTTGCGTTGTCTGAGTAAATACCAGCTGTTTAATATCCCTATTTTAAATGCTTCTTATAACTTTGATAGGAGAATTCTAAAAATGACCTATTAGAGGCCTGAGTTTTATAGAGAAGTCAGGAGGAAAAGTCCAACCGTTCATAAAGGTTCTAGTTCTATAAACTATTTATGTTACCGTTACATAGCGTATCATAACCCAGTGAAGGTGGTGCACATCGTGCGTCTTTGAGGGTATTCGGACTCACAGGTCCGCGGATCAAATACCGCCGACCAAAATTAAAGTAGAGCCGAGTAATCCGCTGATGGTCTCCCAGCCTGCACACGTGTCATTATACGGATTAAATCACGGCTCCGGTGTTTAATTGCTAGGCTCATGCAAGGACGGCGCGTGTGGAGGCGGATTACACGCACTGCTCTCCTTTAACTTTGATACGCTGTGCTGTGTTTCCTGACTGTCCTTCCATAACGCGTTAAGGCATTTCACTTTTGACTACCTTTTTAAATACAATGATCGAAGTTATTCTTTTCGTGAGTAAACTATACCAAAGGTATCATAGAGGATTTTTCAGCTAAGGGCTTTATTTCTAGTGAGGGTAACTTTACATGTATGCATACTGATATCAAACTTGCAACGTCCTACTTGCGCTTTTCCTTCAAGTGACTTCCCTGTAATCCTCATTATGGTAAAATGTTTATGTAAATCTATTGATTTCTAACCCATGATGATTTAACAAATATTTTTAATCACATGGCTGACTAGGCTGTAGGATACTTAAAAGTAAAAACGTTTCTGTAAAAATAATTTATCATTACCAACTCTCAACAATGGACCTACTTCAACATATTACACCAAATTCTAATTACATTACAGTAAGTACGTATACGGACGTGTATTCCTGGTTCCAAGTGAGTTCTCTGTTCTGGGCATTGTTGACTGGTTTGATGCTGGATAAGCTTGTTGCCAAGACAACAAAAGACGGTAATTAAAAAAAATGATGGTATTAACTGGTCGAGGGTTTAATCTGTGTCAAAATTATGTTTGTCCTTTTGATTTAATACACTTCGCTTTTCGTAGCCTTTGCTAAGTATTAAAACATATGATTCATATTCAAATATCATATTTGTATTTCAGACAAAACGCACTGCTTTGTGGTTCCATTTTTCTTGACTGTGGCGGCAGGCATCGTTGTATCCATAGCTTGTGTCATCCCCATTATCGAAATGCAGTTTGTGGCCATTTTATTTCAGTGCATATTCAAATCCGGAACTTTCGCCGTGCATTTAGCTTTTCTGGAGGCTGCGTAAGTAAATTTGGCGATACATTCTTAGTACTTGTTTATACAATATTCTTTTTTTTTTGCTTAAAAATATTGATACACACTTTTAATGATATTAAAAAAATTGCTTAGTTTGTGACCAAATCTGAATTTTTTATATCTGTTTCACCATTTATTTGAGCCTACTAATAATTCAAGGTAATTTGTGGGAATACATGTACAACATCCCAAGCAAATCAAACAAAATTTCCCATGGCATTCTAATCCTCGTGTCATCCAGGAGAAGCAAGATATTTTTTCACTGCTACTATATCCATACACTATAATAATAATAATAATAATAATAATAATAATAATAATAATAATAGTCATTTATTGTCTAAAATTCATATAAAATGTTCAGTAGACTTAACATAGGTAAAATGAACAGAAAAAAATTAATAAAGTCAATAAATAAATAGGCAGCTAAAATATTAAGATATTGAAATAGTAAAATATATATAAATATATAGACAGTTAAAATTTTAAGATATAAAATAGATAGTACAATATAATGATAACAGTCAGTTAAATCAGGTATCAACCTTATTGAAAATGAAAGTTTTTTTAATTTTTTTTAAATTGTCCTAGAGTCTATAGTTTTAGAAATATATTGAAAGAATAGAGTCGTTGATTGGTCTTGCTTGAACTTTATTCAAGGCAGGTACATTTAGATTATTGTCTTTCTAGTTGCATAAGAAGTGGCGGTTTGTTTAAAAAAATGTCGAGACAGGGTTTGTCTTTCTGAGTGCCATCAGTCATTCAAATTACAGGTTTCCAAAAGAACACTTTGGAAAGGCATTGGGAATACAAGTCACCGTCAGTAGTTTGCTGACCTTCATAGAATTACCAATATTTTCATGGTACAAGTACAGCTTGGGCAGTGACCCAATCTGGGTATGTTTAAGAAACATTGTTGTTTATCGGTACATTATTCATGGCACCATGTATTCAGATATGGTAAAATAAGAAGATAATAGATGAGTTCCAAAGTATGTGGCCGAAGATTTTCACTAAATTATCCAATTAAGCTCGACCATAGGCTGATTTAAGTTTCGTGAAATAAATTGGCTTAAGTGAACACAGCATATAACGGGAAATCCAAAGTTAAACTAGAGTAATTTGACCAACTAACGGTTGCAAAAATTTCATTGTTACTTTCCGTGATATGGCATTTGATGGACCGCCTAGTTTTACAGTAATATACACGGCACATGTACACTGATGACACATTTCTTTTGCAGTTGGGAGTACTATTTCTGGGAATATGCTGCACGGCCAGCTGTCTGCCAATATACCTACTTTGGCTTCGATTTCGCTCCACGAGGTCTAACAGCTCTGCGATTTAGAATATCGGCGTTGAAAAACAGCTGCCAAAATGGCGGAGTAGAACATGTGGTGGCACTGGGGTGGACGAATGATCCAGAGCCACAATAGGATATCCACTGTTCAATGAAGCATTCGCGCACGCACACACACACACACACACACACACACACAAAAGATACCATACTGATGTCTGGGCTTGAACCCCAAATACTCCCATTTACTCAACTTAGTCTAGTATTTGACGGCCCATTGAAATAAGAATCTGATCCACTTTGAATTGAGCAGGTGAGCTTAGTCTTTGATTTTTACCCACTTTGGTCATGCTGACTCTAAACCGTTTGAATCTTGGCGGTACGTTTATTTCACGAAATCCCATTCTAACACGAACCCTCCGCTTTTTCTTTAAAATCACATTAAGTACATTCAGATATGTACATAATCTTGGAAATGATAATTAAAGGTTGTATGGTTCACTTGCCTGCATTTTCATACATGTACACTGCAGGTCGAGATATACCACATACTGTACAAACCAGTATAAGGAGTTGGTGTTTGATTATGTTCCACCAAGAAAAATGATGAGGATTAGTCTGACTTAGTGGGCAAAAATCTAATACCCCATTCCCATAGATTTTAGATCGATCTATCCCTGTGGGAAGTCTCACTAGATTACTGTCAGCTTAGCCGGCTTAAGCGTCTGTCCCGCCTACTAAAAGCTGTAAGGCGGTAATTAACTATTATGCGCGCTCGGCTGACTGCAATTTAGCGTGGTCTCCCAGGGAGTTAGGTCGATCTAAATCTAAATCTCTGGATCGATCTAAATCTCTGGGAATGCACCCTAAGGCGAGGCTTACCTGTACAGAGGAATAGAAAGCGGACTCTCTATCATGGAGGCTTTCTGTCACGTTACACCGAAGCCTGAACCACTGTACATTTTGTGGTATGTGCTCACTATCCCTTTTCATCGCCCACTCTCTTTTTTTCTCTCAGCGTGTGTGTGTGTGCGTGTGATTGGGTGTGCGCGTGTGTGTATCTGCGTGTGTGTGTGTGAGAGAGGGAGGGCTGTCCCCCATTCATTTTGAATAAGCTATATGCATCTCCTGCTATAGGATTATTGTATGATACAAACAATATCATAGTACTGCCAAAGGCAACCATTAATCCTGAATAAAATTTGTTTACGGTTGTTAAATTGTGAACGTACACTTGGAGCAGTAGACACGTGATCTTTATGTCATGAATGTAAACATAAACATGCTCCGTAGCATATAATTAAAGGTAATCGCGTTTAATGTGTCATCCCTGATTGCAGTATACACGGCCAATTTTATTATAAGGGTTAGTTTAGGAAGTACACATCCATAGTGGCCCAGATTGAACGATTGGATACCCACTCTCTGGCAATTAAGATGTTTACACAAAGACGGTTGATTGAGAAATGTACTACCATGGTACAGCTATGTATTCACGGTTGAGGCTGAAATGAGACTTTAAAGAACAACCCAGGCATGGAATTAAAGCTGTGTCTTTAAAGTGGCGTTACAACTGTGTTTGAGGTAATGGATATATTAAACCTAAAACACAATCGTTACCACATCAGAGAAAATAACTCCTGTGTTGATGCAAAGAAACCAAGTCAACGAAAACTGATCTTTATTACCAAATACATGTACGTTAAATTTCCACAAACATGGCTGTAGGATATATATAATATAATTGATTTTCCCTGCTCTTCCAATCAACCCTATTTGCCGATCTGTATCAAGATACTGAAAAATCACTGAAATAAAGAGCCTGGTTCACTTTGATTTGCACAAGTGAGCCTACCGGTACTGAAAAATCACTGAAATAAAGAGTCTGGTTCACTTTGATTTGCACAAGTGAGCCTACCGGTAGTCTTACACGTTAGCCTACATATGTCATGCTAACCATATAGTGTATGAATGGCGGGTCATGGTGCAGTTTGTTAAACTTACTGTGTCTCTCTTCATCTATGAGCGAGAGAGCGAAGGGGAAAATGTTGCTGACATTAAAAAATATATGTATGACCTCGCGGCACTGTGTATTTTAAGATTATACGCAATATCGTAGCGTCCTAAAACACTTTATCAGTTGACACACGTGTGCATTTCAGGTCAGTCAATGTAACCGATTGGTATTTCCGCTGTAGACGGGCAACATGGCAGACACTACTTGCTGGAAACTATTCTGTGTCATCATGGGCCTTTTAGATGCTGCTGTCTACTCTGTCACGTTATCAGGTTGGCCAGCGTTCATGTACATATTTATAGAGGAACGGTTTTATTATTCCCGTTGCGACTTCGATACTGTAGGCAATTCTAGTGCTGATTGTACTGGTCTTGGTAACTGCACGCAAGAAACAGACGGAGAGACTCTCGTTCAAAAGTGCACTGAGCAGGAAGAGATTTTAAATCTAGTTTTCACTGTCGCTTTCGTCGGTTTAGGTTCCCTTTTTATACTTGGTTATGTCTATGATCATTGCGGTACAGTCTGTTTGAGGATCATATCTATGTAAGTATATTTTCATCACACTACGTAAGAACAATTTTAACGTACCTTTACCTGTTGTATGAATTAAGATATAAGTAGAGCATAGACAGTGCACGCAATTTGCTCGTATTGACACTACCCTAAAATACCGCTTGATATCAGCATCAAGAGCCCAAAAATTACTATGGGAAGCATTACAGTAGATAAACGGCAAATGTCTAATTTTGTGTCTTTGACATTTTCTTAAAGATGCCTTTGTGTCGGTGGGTGTTTCTTGATGGCATTGGTTGAGAGAGGTATGGCCTTTATTCTTTTTAATTGATTGTATTCAGCGTTAGTACCTGCGGAGTTGGATCGATCCATATAGACAGATAGTTTCGATGGCAATGTGGCCTTAGATGTAATATATAAGATTTAGCCAAATAGACTGTGTCATTAAGGGGACAAACGATTTCAACAGCAACAATCAACCTGTGCTCATGCAATAATGGAAATTGGCATTGGTCCACATTACACATTTTAACAATATGTCCAGAAATCAAAACGAAACTATCAAAATATTGCAGAAAAATTGGCTAATAATTCATTTTTTAGTCCTTTTTTGACAGGAACAGAATGGCTGTTATTTCCTGGGGCTGTATTCCACCTAATGGGAGGGTTACAGTTGTCAATAACCGACGTCCAGGTTGCGGTATTATTTCCGAAGCTCAAAGCGACACTCACCTGTTTGGTATCCGGTGCCAGAGACGTTAGCGGTTTTGTCCCTATTCTTCTGAAGGTAATAACTTAAGCGAACTCTCACACGCTATCATACCTGTATAGTTACCTTTATATGTATGTCTGTATATCTGTAATTGGCTAATATATATATTCAGAAACCCGGTGGACATTTTGGCAAATACAATATGTCATCATGTAACAAGCGAAAAAAAAACGAAGAGACGTTCATGTCATATAAAATTTGATCTTTTGGCTGGCTGGCCTCTGTTAATTTGTGTGTATACGTTAATTTTGTTGTTTTTAAAATATCATTTGACATTTTATTAATTGTAGATGGCGTACCAGGTCGGAGTGTCGTACAAGACGTGCATGTTGACCTTTACCGGTATCATACTTCTTCTGTCTTCTGTCAACACAATCACCCTTCCACCTAGACAGGATGACGACGGAAATAACATTGATGTAGACTGCTGTTTAAAGATGATTAAACGCAACAGAATAACTAAGGAAGCTTCTACTGGTATTAACAAGTTTGATCAGAATGACGTGAATGAATCTACTGTTAATGAGCCGTTTGGTGAGCATCCAGTTAGGGAACCATTTTCATTAAACAAAACGAGTGATAACGTAAAACAGTACTGGCAATTTAAAAATATTTTCTTGCCTAATGTTTCAAGTCAAGTAATTACTAATCCTTTTTTTAAATATACAGTGCTAGAGTTTACATGACAGGCACTTGAAGATATAGCACATCTTTCTCTATTTGAGGTAAATTATTGAAACTGTTGATTTAATGTTATCAACTGCATAATATTTGTTTTTCTTTTGCGCTCGTCATTTAATCTAACATCTCTCCCTCGACTCAGTGGATATATCATATACATACTTATTTCGCACAAAGCATCAAGAATGGTAGATTTCTTGAATTAAAATCAAATTAATTCAATTGTTTAGGATAATAAACATTACATCTCTCCAAGCAATTACACAAGTGAAAAAAAATACATAAGCAGTCATCAAAAAATGTAGTTTTTTGGACAGTTCACCATTTTCATTGGGGTTCTTGTTGGATAAATGACAATTTGATTAGGTTTGATTAAGTTCATGGAAGATAAATGGCCAGGTAGCTCGATGAAATGCTAGTCTATATGCTATAAATGTTTAATAACAACTTGTGTGTATTTGTGATTCAATTTATTGTCGGTAACAAATATAGTAACAAATATATGCTGTAAAGTATGATACTCAGATAATATTTGTCTGGGGTGTGGCCTACTCCTTTAATAAAACTCTGTTTTAATTTAGAACATTTGAACACTGACTTTCCTTTGACATTGTCTTTCCAGTTCCAACAGGTAACGTCAAAGCAAATAAGGAGACAACCAGCGGGGAAGCCGGTGAAATAAATTACCAGGAAGCTTTGGATATGCACACTTCTTACCAACATTTTACCAATGTCAGCCGCAAGGAAACGTGTTTTGACGGAAGTGCCCCGTTGATTCACGGAATGGAAAACCCTGACAGTAAAGAAAATGACGAAAGCACTAACATCGGTTTATTACATGGCACGCTTCTGATTCTGAAGAGACCCATATTTTGGATGCTGTTGCTGTGGCTTACATGCCAGGGCACCGTCATTATCACATACGATGGTTGTTTTTATGCGATCATCAGTTACTATGGAAACAATGCCAAAAGCACAAGTAATGCATTAACATTGTTATAAACAATACTGGTTTAGCAAAAATGTTCATTAGCTTGGTTGTTGGATCATAAACATGAAAATTCTCAGACGCATGCCTAAAATTTTTCCGTGCCGTTAGCTTACGGCCAACCTGGTCGAAGGCCTTCATCAGACTGACGTGAGTAGTTGTTCACACTCACTGACCGCTAGACTGTAATTCCTTTTACATTGGTGAGACAGGTACACGGTTGAAGACCTGGGCTCCGTATCTCGAAAGCATCGCGTATTGCGAATCGCTGTATCAAATAGAGACTACAATGTATTATATGGAACGAGTAAGGGCGAGTTATGGAATCGAGACGCTTGCGCACGTGCGCAACATAGCGAACCTTTCGAGATACGGGGCCCAGGGTGAGTGAACACAGGAAATCAGTGACTGTAGGCAATACCAGCTCTGCCATTTCTGAACATGTAATAGACACCGACCACAGTATCGATTGGAATTCAACTAAGGTACCTGATTCTGAATCATCCGACATCCCGCGAAAAATACGAGAGGCTATCAACATCAGCCGACACCAGCCACCCATGAATAGGGAGGTTGATCTACCTGACATTTATAAGAGGGTCCTGGCCGCTATACCACCTAGCGGTCAGTGAGTGTGAACAACTACTCACGTCAGTTTGATGAAGGCCTTCGACCAGGTTGGCCGTAAGCTAACGGTACGGAAAATTTTAGGCAGGGGTAATCCTAGAGAGGGGTGAGAAACGTCCATTGTTCTCGTCATTGAGGCTGGCCAAATTCAGGGTATGTACGCACAGACAGAAAACCATGTATTGTGGGAACGTTACAAATGAAGCCACTGGTAGTACCAGTAGATATCAGTGTGTAGTCTTGAATAAGCACCTCGTTGATGAGTGAACAGTTGTCAAAAACAAAAGACCCAGGTATGGTAGTTCGACTACTGTTCATGCATGCCGCAAAGACCAAGCCTAATTGCCCCTCAAGGTCACAAACCAATATCCGGTACTTTCGGTTAGGCTCGTCATAATCATTTTAGTAGCGCGTTTCCACCCCCTGTTTTAGGCTTGTGTCTGAGACATTTCATGTTTAATATGGGTTTACTTAGCATGTTGTCGTAACACCTTTCTTGTTTTTTATCAGTATATCTATCGTAGTAAAATATACAACTCAATGCAGTTTGGCTGAATTATACCAGTTGTTTAAAATACTTGTTATTACTATGATAGGATAATTCTGAAATTGAACTTTTGGAGGTGTGAGTTACATAAGGAAGTGGGAATGAAAAGTCGAATCATTCATTAAGGTTCCAACGGTTGAGCTCCTGTTAACAAAAGCCTTATCATAACGCAGAGAATAGTAATTATTACTGAAATATATTCCACCTAATCCTAATTACGTTACAGTAAGTACGTATACAGACGTGTACTCCTGGCTCCAAGTGGTATCTCTGTTCTGGGCCTTGCTTACTGGTCTGATGCTTGATAAACTATTAACCAGGGCGACCCAAAACGGTAATTCACAAAAGAGTGATATTAACTGGTCTACGGGTTAATCGGTGTTCAGATTATATTTGTCTTTTTAATTTAATACCCTGTCCTTTCTGTAACATTTAATATGTGTTAAAGCATTTAAATTATATACGAATGTCGTATTTGTCTTTCAGACAAAGAGCACTGCTTCGTGGTTCCATTCTTCTTGACTGTTTTGGCAGGCGTCATCGTATCCATAGCGTGTATCATCCCCATTATCGAGATGCAGCTTGTGGCCGTTGTCTTTCATTCTGTGTTGAAAACCGGTACTTTCGCCGTGCATTTTGCATTCGTGGTATCTGCGTAAGTAAATTTGACAATGCATTCTAAGCACTTGCTCTTCCCTTTTTATTATTTTTGCTTAAAATACCGTCTTTTGTGTTCAAGATATTAAAAAAATTGCTTAGTTTGTAATCAGATGTGAAGGCTTAATACTGTTTTATCGCACATATATATGTAAGGCTAGGAATAATTCGAGGCAATTTGTGATATTTTGTTGGAAAAATCTTGTAAATAGATTATACAAGGCATTCTTGCAACGTCCTAGGCCTCACCCACTAGCTACACAAGCAATATACTTTTTTTCAGCAAATGTGCTTTCTATGTAATCCTAAATCATCAATCTGATTCAAGTTTCTCGCTCATTTTCCATTGATATATTGGTGTTACTTGCTCAGTAATAAGGACAGGTATGCATGTTTGTGTATGTTTTACTAGTTCCACTGCAAGTGACAGTCTGTGTCCAAAAGAAAATTTTCCAGACATGGCAATTTTTTTCTGGTCAACATATGGATCACTGTGAATACACCTGAGATCAATACATTCAAATTACAGTTTTCCAAAGGAACATTTTGGAAAAGCATTTGGAATTCAAGTTACCGTCAGTGGTTTGCTGACCTTTATTGAATTGCCAATATTTTCCTGGTACAAGCACAGCTTGGAAAGTGACCCACTTTGGGTATGTAAAANTTGATCTACCTGACATTTATAAGAGGGTCCTGGCCGCTATACCACCTAGCGGTCAGTGAGTGTGAACAACTACTCACGTCAGTTTGATGAAGGCCTTCGACCAGGTTGGCCGTAAGCTAACGGTACGGAAAATTTTAGGCAGGGGTAATCCTAGAGAGGGGTGAGAAACGTCCATTGTTCTCGTCATTGAGGCTGGCCAAATTCAGGGTATGTACGCACAGACAGAAAACCATGTATTGTGGGAACGTTACAAATGAAGCCACTGGTAGTACCAGTAGATATCAGTGTGTAGTCTTGAACAAGCACCTCGTTGATGAGTGAACAGTTGTCAAAAACAAAAGACCCAGGTATGGTAGTTCGACTACTGTTCATGCATGCCGCAAAGACCAAGCCTAATTGCCCCTCAAGGTCACAAACCAATATCCGGTACTTTCGGTTAGGCTCGTCATAATCATTTTAGTAGCGCGTTTCCACCCCCTGTTTTAGGCTTGTGTCTGAGACTTTTCATGTTTAATACGGGTTTACTTAGCATGTTGTCGTAACACCTTTCTTGTTTTTTATCAGTATATCTATCGTAGTAAAATATACAACTCAATGCAGTTTGGCTGAATTATACCAGTTGTTTAAAATACTTGTTATTACTATGATAGGATAATTCTGAAATTGAACTTTTGGAGGTGTGAGTTACATAAGGAAGTGGGAATGAAAAGTCGAATCATTCATTAAGGTTCCAACGGTTGAGCTCCTGTTAACAAAAGCCTTATCATAACGCAGAGAATAGTAATTATTACTGAAATATATTCCACCTAATCCTAATTACGTTACAGTAAGTACGTATACAGACGTGTACTCCTGGCTCCAAGTGGTATCTCTGTTCTGGGCCTTGCTTACTGGTCTGATGCTTGATAAACTATTAACCAGGGCGACCCAAAACGGTAATTCACAAAAGAGTGATATTAACTGGTCTACGGGTTAATCGGTGTTCAGATTATATTTGTCTTTTTAATTTAATACCCTGTCCTTTCTGTAACATTTAATATGTGTTAAAGCATTTAAATTATATACGAATGTCGTATTTGTCTTTCAGACAAAGAGCACTGCTTCGTGGTTCCATTCTTCTTGACTGTTTTGGCAGGCGTCATCGTATCCATAGCGTGTATCATCCCCATTATCGAGATGCAGCTTGTGGCCGTTGTCTTTCATTCTGTGTTGAAAACCGGTACTTTCGCCGTGCATTTTGCATTCGTGGTATCTGCGTAAGTAAATTTGACAATGCATTCTAAGCACTTGCTCATCCCTTTTTATTATTTTTGCTTAAAATACCGTCTTTTGTGTTCAAGATATTAAAAAAATTGCTTAGTTTGTAATCAGATGTGAAGGCTTAATACTGTTTTATCGCACATATATATGTAAGGCTAGGAATAATTCGAGGCAATTTGTGATATTTTGTTGGAAAAATCTTGTAAATAGATTATACAAGGCATTCTTGCAACGTCCTAGGCCTCACCCACTAGCTACACAAGCAATATACTTTTTTTCAGCAAATGTGCTTTCTATGTAATCCTAAATCATCAATCTGATTCAAGTTTCTCGCTCATTTTCCATTGATAAATTGGTGTTACTTGCTCAGTTATAAGGGCAGGTATGCATGTTTGTGTATGTTCTAGTAGTTCCACTGCAAGTGACAGTCTGTGTCCAAAAGAAAATTTTCCAGACATGGCAATTTTTTTCTGGTCAACATATGGATCACTGTGAATACACCTGAGATCAAAACATTCAAATTACAGTTTTCCAAAGGAACATTTTGGAAAAGCATTTGGAATTCAAGTTACCGTCAGTGGTTTGCTGACCTTTATTGAATTGCCAATATTTTCCTGGTACAAGCACAGCTTGGAAAGTGACCCACTTTGGGTATGTAAAACAACTTATGTATACAGAGAGGGTACAGAAAATAACAGATTATGTCTTAAGTGCGTGACTAAATTGTTTTACTATAGAATACTCAATGATGCTGGACAATAAGATGTTATTTAGTTGCGTGGAAGAGGTAAAGTGTCGAAATAATGCATTTGTGGAGAATGAATGCAGTACATAATAACGATCAATCCACTGTTAAACTAAATTACCTTGACCAGCTTGCAGTTGCTTAAATTCAAGTTTTGAGGACTATATCATTAAGAAGATTTCTATTCAGAGAAAATCCAGTTGGAGACCAAGAATTTTAGTAATATATGATGATGACACATTTTTGTCTTCTAGTTGGGAGTACTGTTTCTGGGAATATGCTTCACGGCCAGCTGTTTGCCTTTCTACCTTCTTTGGCGTAAGCGTCGATACACTAGATCTAGCAACTACACGCTTTAAAACAAAGTTTTGAAAATGAAGGTCAACATGCAGGATCAGTACATGTAGTGACACAGGACTGGACGATTGATCCAATAGGATACTCAGACCACATACCCATACCTAGATCGATCTGGCAAGATCGACCGATCTCCGAGGTGATTCTCGCTCAGCGTAAACGGTTTAGATGTAAGGCACGCCTACTGAAGCTGTTAAACGATAGTTAAGTACCCCCGAACAGCTTCAATAGACGTGCCAGACATCAGAGCCGCTTACGCTGAGTGCAATCTAGCGAGAAACCTCTCATAGATGGGTCGATCCTGCTAGATCGATCTATATGTATGGAAATGGAGTCTTACTGTTCAAGAAGGCAAAATGATTGACTTTGATTTGCAAAAGTGACCATTGTCCTAGATTTTGACCCCCCTTATGTCATGCTAACCCTTAACTGCATGAAATAAACGAAAGGCGAAACCAATCTACGAACCCTCAATTTTCGACAAACCAGCATGAAACACCTTGGGGACACCAAACTATGTAAATTTCTCATGTTCACGTATGTCTCAAAATGATAAGTAATGGACGCTCGGTTCACTTGCTATCATCACAAATGTACACTGTGCACGTAGGTTAATAGAAGTAGCACATACTGTACATACCAGTATACAAAGTTAGTTTTATATAATTAAAGACCGTTTCCGCCAAGGAAAATGTACCACTACATTAAATGCGCCCAATTGCAAAAATATGATATTAATTATAATATATTTTAGATATTGTTTCTGAATACTAGGAAAATACACAGAATGTTTATGATCCAAAGTTCGAAATAAATTGTGAGTGCCGGAGCCTGAACCACTATAGAGTTTAATTGTTATACGTTCTCTCTCTCTCTCTCTCTCTCTCTCGCTCTCTGTGGTGAGTGTGTGGGTGAGTGCGATAGAATATGCTAATGTTGCACTGTTTTATTTTATTTTATTTTATTTTATTTTATTTTATTTATTTTGTTATACAGTGTATAAAGCACAACTGGAAAATCGCTTAAATAGATATCCATCTACGCTGGGCAGTGTGAAAGTACGTGGCATGACCCCACGGCACTCCGATGTTAAAGGTGACATATATACAAGATAACACTAAGGGTGCTTCATTCACTTTATCAGTAAGGGTTACGGGTATACTGATGAGCAATTCCGCTGGACTTGCGACATGGCGGCCACCACATGTTGGAAGCTATTTTGCGTCGCCCTGGGTGTCTTAGAAGCCGCTGTTTATGCTGTCACTTTGTTTGGATGGCCAGCATTCGTCTATATATTCATAGAAGAAAGGTTTTACGATTCCCGTTGTCATCCCAATGCTGTTACCAATGTCAGTGATAACATGATACGTTCTCATTGTGACGCCCTTGGTAACTTAACGATAGAAACAACCAGAGAGGACCGCGATCATAAGTTACTGAGCAAGAAGAGATGCTCAACCTAGTATATACGGTTGCTTTAATCGGTTTAGGGGCTCTTTTTGTGCTTGGTTATTTATATGATCACTGCGGAACAGTCTGTTTGACGATCATATCTATGTAAGTATATTTTGATTACATTGCAGAGGAGCAATATGTTCTTTCATCTAAGCATTTTAATAAATATGGATTCTATAGGACTGAGTCTTTATATGAATCAAATTCTCTGCCGTTTCCTTTTTGATGGAACACCGAGCTTAGCTTATCACCGAGAGCTCGTGCCTAAAATTGACTACGGCGGTCATAACAGGAAGATTTATTTAATGGATAAACATAATAGCAATGTTTTGCTTATTTTGACGATTTCTTTAAGATGCCATTTGTAAATCTTTGACATTTCATTTAAGCTGCCTGTGCGCTGGCGGATTTTTCCTCATGGCCTTAGCTGAGAAAGGTATGGAAATACTACACCTCCTTTTGTAACAATATACACATTTACGTTAACAGCAATCTGAATGTCAGAAAACAATGGTGATACATGAAACAAATAATGTGAAAATGCGGAACGATCGCGTTTGGTTTTACATAGGCATAGGGAAAATACTTCTTTTATTGTGGAGCCAGGAAGAAGAGGGGGTTGGGGCAACTGTCCAAACCCGAGCCTCAGATATCATCGTAGAAAATAATGCTGTATGTTTAATTTGGTTCAGTTTGCTGGACATTTTTTATCCTTGCCCTCAACCTCTTCTTCTCAAGTTAACGTATGTATATGAACGTAAGTTGTCCCCAGGATAAAATTTGAAGGGGACACCCACCAGGCTGGCTATCTTCAATTTATCGTTTGTACTCAATAATTGCAAATATGAATAAAGTGCTTGTGACAAACACTTGCTGAAAATATAGTCAGTAAGAGTATGCGGTTGAATATATTTGTCTTCGAAAGCAGAATAATTCGAAGTGGGGGCAACGAAAACGTTAAAAACGAATTCCAAACCGAAATGAAATTTAGAAAGCTTTGCAGATCGAAATATCGGGAAAGTGATCATGATACAATGAACATTGTCAATTTTGATAGGGACAGAATGGCTGTTATACCCTGGAGCTGTATTCCACCTGATGGGAGGTTACCAATTGGCTTTAACTGACGTCCAGGTGGCCGTATTGTTTCCTAAGCTTAAGGCGACACTCATCTGCTTGATTTCCGGTGCTATAGACGTTAGTGGTTTTGTCCCTATTCTGCTGAAGGTAATTATAATGTTCCCCTGACGCATGGTAGGTACCCACACAAACAGACAGATCGTTGTAAAAGAGTTCGTATGTGCTTTTGACAAAAGATGTTCTGAAACTAGTGAAAGATTTAGGTAAATACTGTTGAGGACCCATGCAGTTGTTATACAGCCTACATAGTAGTGATAGTTGGTATTGCTGGAAAAGATTCTGTCAAAAATAAAGTAACATACTTAGAAGATCAAACAAGATTAAAAACAATTTAAGATGTAGTTGACCTTATTCTTAATCAATTTTATTTGCCGGGGGGGGGGGTTAACTAGCACATATAGGGGGCATTCAGAATGGATGATCCGAGGACTAACTGATCCGCCGCCTAAAAATGGCCGATCACACTTCACAAGCGATGCCGCTGATACCCAATGTTCTCCCCGCCTCCACACGCGCCATTAAACTGATGAAATACTGGCTTCAAAGTTGAATTGCTAGGCCCCATGCAGCGAAGGCGAGTGTGGAGGCGGGAATTAGCGGAATCGCTTTGGGGTGGGGTCGACCATATTTAGTCGGCGGACCAGTTAGTACTCGGATCATCTATTCTGAATGGCCCCATAGACTAACATATATGGATATATGTTCATTTTTTCTGACTTGGACTTGGACTTGAAATATATTTGAATACACACATTTACTCAAATTCTTCAAATGTTATAGGAATTGAATAAATTGTAGATGGCGTACCAGGCTGGAGTGTCGTACAAGACGTGCATGTTCACCTTTACCGGTATCATACTTCTTATATCTTCTGTCAACACAATCACCCTCCCACCAAGACAGGATGACGACGGGAATAATATTGATATTGCTTGCTGTTTAATGGTGCGCAAACGCCACAGACTTTCCAGAAAATCTTCTGAATCTTAATTACCATTGTGATGACACTTTCGAAAAAACTGTTGTGAATGGACCCGCTACAACTGAGCAGCTTGGTAAGCATTAAATGATAGACCTAAGTTTATTTAACGCAGCATACACGTCTGACGATGAACTTGTGTAATTGATAAATATTTAAAACTAGCTCACATTTTCTTCATATCAACAATTTAAGGATGGATACCATGCTTTTGATAGACGTATTAAGTTTTGGCTCATTAGAGAGAATAGTGCCTTTTTAACTCGTCCTTTAGATAAGGCTTTATATTTGATATTTAAAATTTAGGACCAGTTGCTTTCATTTTTTCTTCTTGTAAAAGAAGGCTGTAGGAAACACTTGACACCAAGTAGGCTACCATTGTTTTAATTTGTTAAGTATAAATAAAAATATGATATAAGTAATTCAGCAGAACAAATGATACGGGGATCTTCAGCCCACTACTAGAAAATGAGAAGGAGCTTTTTTTTTCAATTTGACACGTTTAGAATTTGACTGTTCTATGAAAACCCTCTTTCCAGCCCTAACTGGAAACGTCAATGCAGACGGGATGGCAACAGGTGGGGAGGCAGATGAAATAAATGACCGCCGTGCCGTGAATATTAGCACTTCCTGTAGTCATAAGGATAAAGCCAACTATGAAGAAACGTGTGTTGACGGAAGTGTCCAGACATCCCACGAAAAAAGCAACAAAAAGGATGGCGAGAGCACCAACATTATGTGAAGGTGTTTGTCAATAAAGAATCTGTAATCTGGTTTACTACGTGGTACGCTACTGATTGTCCAAAACCCTACATTCTGGATGCTGCTGTTGTTGTCAGCACACCCTCATTGTAACATACCAAGGCTGTTTCTATGCGATCATAAATTACTATGGGAACAATGTCAAGAGCACAGGTAATATAGCTATGTATACCCCCCTGTACGTTGCCCACATAGGTAATATAGTTACTTCATAAGTATGTTTTAATACAATGTACATAGCTCTCACGTTTTCTCCCTCCCTCCCTCTCTCTCTCTTTCTCTCTCTCTCTCTCTCTCAGTATAATATAAACATCAATGCAGGTTTTTTCATCTCGTTGTTTGAATAGCAGTAGGTTTGTACTCTTGTTTCCTAAACGTGTAATTTCTTCTTACTGCTATGTTATAGGGGTACTTATACGGTAAGACTGGCTGATTAATTAGTAGAAGTATAGAACTAACATGATCGAAGCACAGATTCTCCACATACGCCCATTTCATTTAAGTACTTAATTTCATAATAATCATCGTGGTAAAAGGTAAATGGTAAACACGACATATTTTTTAAATATAATTAACTACATTTGTAATTGTGATATATTTTTACAAGCTTTGAGCTTTGAGGCAATATGAACTGAAGCTCACAAATTCTAATTACGTTACAGTTAGTACGTATACGGACGTGTATTCCTGGTTCCAAGTGGGTTCTCTGTTCTGGGCCTTGCTGACTGGTTTGATGCTAGATAAATATGTTGCCACGGCAAGCAAAGACGGTAATCAACAAAAGGATAATATTAACTGCCATTCTGTCTTTAAGTATATAAACATAATATTATGCATATTTGCCCTCTGAAATATTATTGAGTAATCGACATTGAAGTGACAGTACAATATTTTTCACGACAACCACACAATCGCCTCTTCGGCATTCTCTGATAACTAGTATTTTCTGACCACGTCTATTTAATAATAATAATGATAATAATAATAATAATAATAATAATAATAATAAAGTATTTATTGCTTCTTTATTTTGGGAATAACCATGACACTCTGTTCCTGCGCTATGTATTGAAAACATACATTATTCTCATACACATATCTTAACATCTTTCAGACAAAGAGCGATGTTTCGTGGTTCCATTTTTCTTGACTGTTTTGGCAGGCGTCATTGTATCCATAGCTTGTGTCATCCCCATTATCGAAATACAGTATGTGGCCATATTCTTTCATTCTGTGTTGAAAACTGGGAGTTTTGCCGTGCATTTGGCATACGTGATATCTGCGTAAGTGAATTTCATAATCCGTTCTCAGAATTTGATTTTACTAGCTTAATTATTCTGAAAGATACAGGATCTACAAATGTTTAATCTGTGAGCAATTGTATTAATCTGTAATAACCTTTCAACCCTCAACCAATAGTTACAGAAGCAAGAAACTTTTTCACTACATTCTAATATGCATGTGGTAATGCTGAGGCGTAGAGTACTTTGAAAATGCCCATTGACCAATGGGTATATTGTATCATCAAAACAGATACCCAACAAACACGTCACGTTCGGATCACGTGGCTAGCAACGTCATAGCAACGTGCTACGTACCCCACGCGATCCGAAAATAACGTGATTGCTGGGTAAATTACAGGTTTCCGAAGGAACATTTTGGAAAGGCTTTTGGCATACAAGTCACCGTAAGTTGTTTACTGGCCTTTATTGAACTACCAATATTTTCCTGGTACAAGTACAGCCTGAAAAGTGACCAACTCTGGGTATGTATAGCAACCGCTGTTGGCATTCATCATGGCATTGTGTATTCTGAAAGGGTAGAGTTAGAGTACAATAGATTAGGCTTAAAGCGTGTGACTGCTAGTTGTACTTTATAATCCAATATGGCCGTTTTTTTTTTTTTTTTTTTTTTTTTTTTTTTTTTTTTTTTTTTTTTTTTTTTTTTTTTTTTTTTTTTTTTTTTTTTTTTTTTTTTTTTTTTTTTGTTTGTTTGTTTGGAAGGAAAGTGTCGAAATAATGCCATAAAGGACATGTTGACTGCAATATACGAACACCAAATTCTAAATTAAAATCAATTATATTGAGAATTTTGAGTTATATTAAGTTTATATTTGCCATTTTTATATTTTAACATTTTTTAGGCGGGATCATGTTATAAAAATATAGCTTTTTACATGAAAGTGCAGTCAAAAAGTCACCCACGTTTACAGCCACGTTTTCTTATTTATTTATAAATTTATTTATAATCGTTTTATTTTATTTTTTTATTTATTTATTTATATATATATATATATATTTTTGCAGTTGGGAGTACTGTTTCTGGGAATATGCTTCACGGCCAGCTGTTTGCCTTTCTATCACCTTTGGCGTCGGTGTCGATCCACTAGGTCTCTCAGCTACGCACGTTGTAGTGACAGGGAGACTAGATGATAATAATAATAATAATAAAGTATTTAATAAGTAAATCTGCAGAAGGCGCCATCATATACCCAATGTTCAACAAGACATTCAGAGGGCAAACGGAGCCAACTTATCCGCTTATGATCTCTCCGTGTTCACACGCACCATTAAACGGATTAAATCGCGACCTCGATGTTTAATTGCTAGACCCCTGCAGGGACGGCGCGTGTGGAGGCTGGGAGACCATCAGGGGATTAGTCGACTCTGCTTTAATGTGGGTCGGCCATATTTGATCCGGATCTGTTAGTCCAATCGGCAATCCTCGGCTCATTCCGCAAGCTCCATACTAACCTCGGATGTGATAGGCGGAGAAATATGCACCAAATCCATGCATTTTGTCCGCCGGAAATGCCTTCTCACTCAATCGATCATTACGCTCATAAAGATGGCTGTCAATACCCCTGATTTTTATGATGCTTTACGTTATTGTCGAGTGCGGAGACATCCGAGTAGTTCCGAGTGCTGTTAGTCCGCAAATCAACTTGTTCGGAATGCCTTCTTAGACCATGATTGATTGAGTGATACAATATAATATTCCAGTCGTGTACAATAACTCCACAGAGGAAAACCACGACCTAGTCAAATGATGGGAAATAGTAACTGATCAGATTCAATTCAATGAGTGTCCACTGAAATACAGTCCAGTTCACACTGATTTGAACAGGAAAGCTACGCATGCTAATCGTAATCTGTATAAATTTAATGCTGTGACGATAAATTTAATGTTATGTCGGACACAACTGGCTCTTTTTTGTCGGACATATCTGGCCTGTCGGACACATATGGCTCTTTTTTTGTCGAACATATCTGGCTTGTCGAACACATCTGGCTCTTTTTTGTCGGACATATCTGGCTTGTCGGATACATCTGGCTCTTTTTTGTCGGACATATTTGGCCTGTTCTCTGGTCGTAGGACATATATCTGGCCTGTCGTACATATCGGGTCGTCACAAGTGCAGAGCCCCTGTTACACTAACCACTAGTTTTCTGTACTGTCGCCATACCAGTGTCACATACTCTGATTAACGACTTCACTTCTCTGGGACACCGTTGTCGAAAACATACCACATGTACTTCAAAGTACCTTACAAAGTACATATACATACCTAGGGACGTTATGTGACCCTGGCGATATGCTGATCACTGAAGCCCGTCCATTTAGCTAAGCTTCAGTGGAGATAGAGGGCAACCTCGAGCCGCTTCCCAGAAATATTTCGCTTCACTCGACATTTCTGCGTAGCGTCTCTCGGAAAACTCGGATTTAACCTCGATGCAGTTTAGAAATTGACGACTGCATCTTGGTTAAATCAGTCCAAATTTCTAAAATGCTGAAAGCCGAAAACAGAGCTTTACATGTAACCTTTTGGCATCAAGAGAATAGTGACTTTGCTTGCGTTATATACCTAGACAAATTAAAAATCTCGCACACTCTTAAAAATCAGCAAAAAGTTTTCACGTTCAACAATTTTTATCTATCATTTTATTACACTAAGTCATATCATATGGGTATGGTTTAAAAACAGGAATTATTTTACATTTAAACCACAAGTGCATACAAAAATATTTTAAGGACGGTTGTGTTTTTTACCTTTTCTTTTTAAGCTGTTCATTCTTCCTCTTTATCAGTAATATCGGTAAAAATCTCATTTATTCCCCCTTTGGACTTGTAATTACATGTAGCACATGGATGCTCTGAAAACCAGCATATGTATATTCCGAAAATACCACCTCGTAGTAAAAAAAATGCCACTAAGGTATAGATAAAGCTCAGCGCCGAGTAATTTATCTGGCTTAAAGCACGATTAATTAACCCTGTGCACTGGTGCGTGGAACGCATTCGTGGATGACGTGACTTTACACGAAATAAAGCACGGCGCGACCTATTGTCTTTTGACAGGAGAGTGCTTTAAGTGATAGATACAATACGAGTCGCCGAGCTGTACGTGAAATATTACGAGTGTATTGGNTATACCTAGACAAATTAAAAATCTCTCACACTCTTAAAAATCAGCATAAAGTTTTCACGTTCAACAATTTTATCTATCATTTTATTACACTAAGTCATATCATATGGGTATGGTTTAAAAACAGGAATTATTTTACATTTAAACCACAAGTGCATACAAAAATATTTTAAGGACGGTTGTGTTTTTTACCTTTTCTTTTTAAGCTGTTTATTCTTCCTCTTTATCAGTAATATCGGTAAAAATCTCATTTATTCCCCCTTTGGACTTGTAATTACATGTAGCACATGGATGCTCTGAAAACCAGCATATGTATATTCCGAAAATACCACCTCGTAGTAAAAAAAATGCCACTAAGGTATAGATAAAGCTCAGCGCCGAGTAATTTATCTGGCTTAAAGCACGATTAATTAACCCTGTGCACTGGTGCGTGGAACGCATTCGTGGATGACGTGACTTTACACGAAATAAAGCACGGCGCGACCTATTGTCTTTTGACAGGAGAGTGCTTTAAAACGTAGAATTATTACTCCTGTGTACTTGTAATAAATATCCTTCTGACTTTGATTATATTCCGAAACTGCTTCGTTGTCAGAAATATCACAAAAACGTAAATTTCTTTCTACTTTGCACTTGTGATAAATTAATTTGACTATGTTCCGGTCCGACGCTACTTGTTTATCAGAAATGTCACTTAAAAGAAGTGGATTTGCCTTGGGACCTTTTTTCCGCAGCAGTCCCAGCTAGGTGTGGCTCAGCTGAGTGGTCAGTGTCGGCGGTTGATTAAATACTTTTCAAGCCAGATGAACGTCCATGCCAAGTATTTAGCAAAAATCGAGCAAAGTGGTCAGACATTACGTGAGAATTTGGCGGGAGGTGACCAGTGCAGGTGGATGAATTTATTCCATATAAAATCTCTAGAGCGTGATATAGGGTCACTTTATTCGGTTTTAGGGGTGTTTTAGGGTAAAAGGACTATATTTGTTATCGGTATGTATATCAAATACTTAAACCACGGCTAGCGCGTAGAACAAAAGACTCGACCGTGCTGTATTCGACATACAAGCACGTCATGTACGAGTGCGTTCCACGGTCTGTTGCACTACTAGTGTAGTAGCCAATCAGAGGCCGTGGTTTAAGCCAGATACAACACTCGTCGCCGAGCTGTACGTGAAAATTACTCGTGTATTGTCTCGCCTGCGGCTCGCCAATACACTCTTTATATTTCACGTACAGCTCGGCGACTCGTATTGTATCTATCACATACCACGGGGCTGATATCTAAACAAAAGGATTGCAGAGATCGATACAATGAATGAGACGGAATGACTGCCACGTGCGGAAGATGGGCAGGAAATCAGCCAACTACTGACAGAAACCCACTGACCCATGTCTCTGTCAATACACACGCAACCACAAACCATTCACGCAAATGAAAAATGATTGGACAGTGACTGCAATTAGGCAGTAAACGCGGGGGAAGTCCATTCTTTGATATCACCCCATGCGCGGTGATATCAGCGTGTTCTATTCAAAGTTAGGGGTTTGGTGGGGAACACGCACGATTTCCCTTTGTATGTATGACAAATAATGCGCTGACGCTCGGCATGCTCTCGTGATATCGGGCTCGTGGACAGTGCATTATTTACTACATAATACACTGTCACCCTCTCGCGATATATGCCATGAACACCTCTCGCTGACGCTCGAGGTGTTATGGCATATATCGCACAGGTGACAGTGTATTACTTCACACATATCAAGAGTCAGTTTTTTTTTTGTTATCATCTAAACGCTGTACCTTATCCGCCACGTAACGTACGTGTGCAAATACATTAGCACTCGGCCTTGCGCTTATCGCCTCGTCATTCATCTGACCCTTTTCACTTAAAGCACAGGGCCTTGTACTTATCTAAACCGTATTTTTGCTGTACATGACAGTATGGCGGTCAGTGCTTGTTGGAAACTATTCTGTGTCGTCCTTGGTATCTTAGAGGCTGCTATCTACTCTGTCACGTTATACGGATGGCCAGCCTTCATGTACATATTCATAGAGGAAGGGTTTTATTATTCCCGTTGTGACTTCGATACTGTTACAAATGCTACTTATAACATGACGAGTGCTGATTGTTCTGGCCTTGGCAACTGCACACAAGACACAACCGGAGAGGACCATGTTCTAAAGTGCACCGAGCAGGAAGAAATGCTCAACCTGGTTTACACAATCGCTATGGTCGGTTTAGTGGCACTATTTTTCCTTGGTTACGTCTATGATCACTATGGAACAGTCTGTTTGAGGATCATATCTATGTAAGTACTGTTATATTTCATTGAAGCCCCTGCTACGCGTGGCTTGGTGAACGAATTTTGGCCGAAAATGATGTAATGCCATAGTTCATTTACACTTTTTTATGCTTTTAACGACGGTAAATAACGGCTAATTTTACAGGGGCAAAATTCCCATCCTTGCGTACAAGCTTACGGCGTAACAAAAGCTTTACATACAATACAAAGTAACCCTTTTTAACTCGATTGCTCTCATGGCGATATATAATATCAAATTAATCTTACATAACAAAGGAGCACTGTCTCAATTGACTGTTGCCATAGCCATTACGTTAAATAATTCGTCTTCTTGCTTTGCGTGACCTCTATGTTCTCGATTCTCGCCCTCGTAATTCCTTTCCGCAAAAATGCGAACATGAGTGTCGCGACACATGCACTCATAACGAACAGGTTAATTAATACAGTGGATGAATGTTGTTATCCTTTATGTCTAATTATTCGAGAAGTTATACATCTCACCGCTTAGCTTGAATGTTTTATTTGTAATTTAACCAGTGCATTTGTTCATTATAGAAAAATATATACTTGTTCAGTCATAAACTGGCAACACAATTACCAATTAGCAAATAGTAAATCACCAATTGTATTGATGTTGATATATTGTGCAAGGTCATGATAATATATGTGCCAATACAGAAATAAATTAAAATTGAAATTATTATTTGGCGTTTTCTTTCAGATGCTTGTGTGTTGGTGGAGTTATCCTGATGGCGTTGACTGAGAAAGGTATGTAACTATCTCGGTATGTCCTTACAGTATAAAAAAAAAAACTTAGGTTCACAGTTTTTAATGTAAAGTACAGGTAACTTATATGACTGAAAAAAACATATAACAATAAAGACGATTTTCACATATAGAACCACACCTACCGGTACCCACGCGTCCGGTCGAATGAGATTTAATTACTGCACCCCTGTAGGGAGACGTGTGGGAGGCGGAGAGGCCATTACAGGATTAAGCGGTCTTCCTTTCATCTAGGGTCCGCCATATTTTAACTGATTTCATAATTAAGAGACAATGAACATTTTCAATTTTGAAAGGCACAGAATGGCTGTTATTCCCTGGGGCTGTATTCCACCTGATGGGAGGCTACCAGTTGGCTATAACTGACGTCCAGGTGGCCGCGCTATTTCCCAAGCTAAAAGCGACACTCACCTGTTTGGTTTCCGGTGCTATAGACGTTAGCGGTTTTGTCCCTATTTTGCTCAAGGTAATTAATGCACCCCTTACCTAGGCACACACACACACACGCACGCACGCACGCACGCACGGACGCACACGCACACACACACACTCAGTGATAAGAAAGTCGGTATCCGTGTTTGTATCAAAAATATTCTGAAACTTGTAAAATATTTAGGCAAACACTGAGTCGGTGAACCAAGCGACTTTATTTGGGACTTAATTTTATTCAATGAGATATTGTTATCACGGGACAACTTCTGTCAAAAATGAAGTTACATTGATGTATATTCAGATATAAAATATATATTTATGATGTAGCTGACCAAATTATTCACTTCATTTGCTGGTTACTAACCGGTATAGACTGGCAACAAATATGCTATATTGCTTGCTGACTTTGAATACCTCTTTATTGTTTCTGAATGCGTAAAACAAGATTTTATCAAATACTATGGAAATGCAATGAATTGTAGATGGCATACCAGGCCGGAGTGTCGTACAAGACGTGCATGTTCACCTTTGCCGGCATCATATTCTTTCTGTCTTCTGTGAACACAATCACCCTTCCACCAAGACAGGATGACGACGGGAACAACATTGACGTTGCTTGTAGTTTAAATATTCGCAAAAGGCACAGATCCGCCGACGACTCTTCCAAACCTAACGTGGTACATTTTGCTTATGGCAACGAAGCGTACGATCAAAACGGCGTGAATGAGTCTCCTACAGATAAACAACTTGGTGAGTATCAAATTATAGAAGCATGTTGATTATAAACTCAACAAACACATCCGATGATGAATCAATAGTTTTCCATGACCTTATACCTAAAAACCCAAATTCGGGTGATTGGTCAATATTTAGAACCAACCCATACCTTCCTTATCGCAACGCACCATACTTTATTGTGAAGAAATACCATATTTAACTGCCCGGCTGCGCCATCCAACAGAGTACCAATGCACTGTAACTGTACCATTTACTAGTATGCAAAATTTGTTCCTATTCATCAAGAAGGGTTTCTCTGTTACAAAGTAGATGGGGAGGCAACCCCGGCGGAAGCCCATGACAAGAATGACCATCATGCTGTAAGCATTAACACCTGTCATCAACACAACAAAAATGGCGAACAGAGGAAAACGTGTATCGATCAAAGTGACCAGATGGTGCGCGAAGTAGAAAACCCTGACAGCAAAGATGTCGACGACAACACTAACACCAGTTTACTGCATGGAACGCTACTGCTCATCAGAAGGCCAACATTTTGGTTGCTGCTGTTGTGGTTTATATGCCAGGATACTATCATTGTCACATACCAAGGTTGTTTTTACGCGATCATCAATTACTACGGAAACAATGTCAAAAGCACAGGTAATATATTTGCGTCTTTATATTATCTTAGCTATTTCAAAACCCAGTGAAGGGAGATAAATTGGGCGTTATTGAATTATAAGAATGAAACATGCCCTTCAAAGTTTCTGCAATCCCACCACTTGGCTTTGTTTGGTTCAAAGTGTTCTGTTGTGATTATATTAATATATCGATAGATATAATTTTTAAAGTAAGTAAGTCACTTGCCTAATTCCTAAAACGGGTGACCATAAACATGCAACGCCCCAGGATATTCTTCCTTCAGATGATACTTATTATCCTTAATTTCGTGAAAAGTATAAACCTAAAAGTTTTTAAAGTATGAGTCACAGGCGAAGCGTTACCGTAACTCAGTAAAGAACCTCGGTGACAGACTCGATGATGTGGGCTTTAGAACCTTCGACAAAAAGTCCTTTTTAAATACCGATGTGCATTTTACCGCCTTAAGCTATACCCAAGAGACAATGCAAAAAACGTTTCATCTAATCCTATTTATATTACAGTTAGTACGTATACGGACGTGTATTCCTGGTTTCAAGTGGTTTCTCTGTTCTGGGCCTTGCCGACTGGTTTGATGCTGGACAGACTCATCGCAAGGTCAACAAAAGAAGGTAATTAGTATAGAGACCATAATATGTCATTAATTTGTTTAGCGGTATCTGTATCTTTAGATTGTATGCCTTTTCAAACAATAACAAATAATTGATTAGACATTTAGACATATATTTTGTTCTGCTCATTTGGTTGCTGTTGGACTTAAGTTCCATAGCTTATAATTGCAGCGGATATTTAGCTATCATACCCATGTAATAACCAGTCCGGTGGTTATAATGGTTCTTAGATTTTATTTTCACCAATAAGACCACTGAGACAGGCAGGTATAGTTAACTGCTACATGGTTTATTTAACTGACTGTAAAACTGCTCTATCTTTCCAACTCTCTCTCTCTCTCTCTCTCTCT